CAGTATGACTTGGGAGACAGGAGGCAGTGCCAGAAGGGCCAAGTCAGGTCAGAGACTGCTTCTGTAGTCTTTTGCATCCAAATTACTTGTCTGGGGAGGAACAGGTGTGGAGCCTGGCTCCTGTTCGGAGAGGTTTTTTTTTTCTTTTTAGAAATTTGAACACTTTTCCTAATGTGAACAGAGCAAGAAGCAAGCAATTATTTCGTTTAACAACTATGTGTTCAACCTTCTAGGAAAGTGAGAGATGCTTTGCTTACACGTCTTGGAAAATGTTAAACGTCTTGGAAAAAATTAAAGAGTGAAATTAAGTAAGGACATAAATAATTGAAAATACAGTTCCAACATAAAATTTAGAGTATAGAGTTTAATAGAACAATTTTACAGCTGCTTTTTTTTTCATAATGGAATTGCAGTCACTTTATGGTAATTTAAATGTCATTCTTTCAAATACTAATCTGCAATCTCTTAAACCTTAATTGCTTGATTTACCAATTTGGAATCCTGATAGCTAAGTCTAAGGACAAGATTTTGACTGTCTAAATGTCACCAAAGTCAGGACATACACATGCTCTATTCCTTTGTCAAGGTGGGAGAGAGATTTTGGATTCCTGTGTAAAAGAAGGGCCTGTGATTATATGCAAGCTATCTGACATTGCCAGACTGAGAAGGACGGTAAGTCAAGGAGGAAACCGCATACACACGGAGGAAGGGACAAGGAAGAGAAAGACGAAGGATGAAACATTCAGTAAGAGGGAAGGTAGGTGAATCCAGTCACAGCAGTTGAGACACAGACCAGTGATGTTTTGCCAAGACAGTGATGAAAACGTCCTGTAAACATCCCAGTGGTTACTGGGAGCTTTCTTATCAAGCTTATTTCTGATGCAATTCTGCTACACTGACATCTGTTGATGTCCAGAGTGATGGCTCCATGAAGCCTCATGGGTATAAATACATGAAAAAGGTGAGGGAGCAAAGTACAGCCTGAGCTTCAGTAGGAAGATCCCCTGTGACGAGCCTGTATATTCATGTGTGCAGATCTCCCTGTCACTGCAGGGAGAACATCTATTCAAAGCTTAATAAATATCATTATGGAGGATACTCTTTAAAGGGTTTTCTAGCTTGTAATTCTAAGGCCAGGGGATTGAATAATGAGTTAAGGAAAGGCTACTCCAGCTTTACTGGCTGGCTGGATGATGGGAAAGCTGTGGATGTTGTCTACGTTGATTTCAGCAAGGCTTTTGACAGTCCCCGATAACATCCTCATAGGAAAACTCTGGAAGTATGGATTGGACGAGTGGACAGTGAGGTGGACTGAGAACTGGCTGAATAGCAGAACTCAGAGGGTGGTGATAAATGGGGCCGAGGCTAGCTGGAGGCCCGTGGCGTGCTCCGGGTATCAGTACTGGTCCCAGTGCTGTTCAAATTGTTCATCAATGCCTTGGACGAGGGCACAGAGTGCACCCTCAGCAGGTTTGCAGATGACACCAAATTGGGAGGAGCGGTCATTCAGAGAGACCTAGACAGGTTGGAGACTTGGGCAGAGAGGAACCTCATCAGATTCAACAGGGACAACTGCAGGGTCCTGCACCTGGGGAGGAATAACCCCAGACACCAGAACAGATTGGGGGTTGACCTGCTGGAAAGCAGCTCCTTGGAGAGCGATCTGGGAGTCCTGGTTAACAACGGGTTAACCATGAGTCAGTAATGTGCCCTCGTGGCCAAGAAGGCCAGTGGGATCCTGGCCTGCACCAGGAGGAATGTTGCCGGCAGGTTGAGGGAGGGGGTCTTGCCCCCCTACTCAGTTCTGGTGAGGCCACCACTGGGTATTGTGTGCAGTTCTGTGTGTTCTAAGATCAGAGCGATCTGGGAGTCCTGGTTAACAACGGGTTAACCATGAGTCAGTAATGTGCCCTCGTGGCCAAGAAGGCCAGTGGGATCCTGGCCTGCACCAGGAGGAATGTTGCCGGCAGGTTGAGGGAGGGGGTCTTGCCCCCCTACTCAGTTCTGGTGAGGCCACCACTGGGTATTGTGTGCAGTTCTGTGTGTTCTAAGATCAGTAACAAGGGGGGGGGGGGAGGGCAGAGGGTGTTGCTGAGCCGGAGAGGCAGGGAGCTGCAGCCAGATGGCCCGAGCATGACCGAGAAGCTCATTGGGCAACTTCATGCGTGATCAACATGTGATCATCTAGTTGATTGGTTGATTGGGTTGCTGGGCTTTGCATGCTGCTGGGCAGGGTGGGGGCTGTCTCCAGAGTCAGAAGCTATATAAATTGTGTTTAACTCTTAAACCAACGTTTTTGGTTTTGCTACACCGGAATCAGGGTTTCTTTTATATGCTGCATTTCTGGGCTCCCCAATACAAGAGGGGCATGCAGCTTCTAGAGAGGGTCCAGCATAGAGCTCTAAAGGTGATTAAATGACTGGAGTATCTACCTTATGAGAATAGACTAAATGTGCCTATAGAAGCCCAGAGAAGGCTTGGAAGAGATCTGATCAATATGTACAAGTACCTGAGGGGAGAATGAAGGGAGGATGGGGCCAAACTCTTCTCCGCGGTGGCTAGTGATCGGACAAGTTGAAAGATGGGAAGTTCCATCTCCATGTAAGGAAGAGCTTATTGACTGTGAGGGTGACGGAGCCCTGGAACAGGCTGCCCAGAGGCTGCCCTCCCAAAGGAGGGATTTTAAAACCTATCAGACAAAATCTCTCTCTGCAGGTAGGAACACAGGCTGACAACTCACATTTCTTTGCCATTTCATATAACTTTTCAGGCTCGTTTGCCTCAAATGAGCATTATCAATGTGACCTGCCTTTCCAACTCACACCCCCTGAGAAGTCCCTCTCAGAAAGGCAGAGCACTCCAAGGAGATGTTACCAGATCCAGGGTTGATATTTTACAAACACAAAATACCCTTGAGAATACTACTTGATGTCAGTCAGGTGCTTGACAGCGTTAAGGGTGGGAGAAGAGGGAGGAGGAAATACTATGATTCTTCTCTATTTCTGATAAAATCAAATGGCGAGTTTAAGGCAGAGAGTGTCAGACAATGGCCAGCAAATGCAATGTCTTTCACTGCTTGTCCCCAGTGCCCACACTGAAGGTAATAACCTTCAAACTTGGGATAAAAGGCCAAATCTAGACTTTTAACACAAGTGACTGCTTAAGGCCTGGAACAGGTTCTCATTTCTCAGGTTACCATTTCTCTTTTCCCAACTTAGGAGAAGGATCCTACATCTTTCCTCTAGAGGAATGAGTAATACTCAGGATGCCTCCCATCCCTAGGCACTATTCAGCATCCTCCTGTTGCTCTCACCAGCAAAGTGCTT